ACCCCACACATAAAGTGAGGTCATAGCTTTCTGTTGTGGGGACCATTAAAATGCAGATTGAGGGTCTTTAGGTCTGGGGACACTGGAGCCACAAGCCTGGGGCCCACCTGCTGAGGCACAGGGGGTTGGCCCTGGTGCTAATCTTTAATGAGATTCAACTGTTAGCCCCTGCTGTGGAGACACAAGGCAATTTCAGCTGCTGGGGGAGAGGCTCTCCCAGGCAGCACCTCAAGGTTAAAGCAAGACACTGCCTTTCAAGGACTCAAATAAATACCAGGAAATCTGAAGCCACAGACTTATTTTCATTTTCAGCATTTCCCTCTAGGCCCTACAGGAAATATTCAGGGAGACATAAAGTAAGGGAAAGAAACTATTCGCTTTGTAGCAGAACAGAGACCTGCAGACAAATGCTGATTTCAATGCTGAGGAAAGACCTGGAGACAGGACAGGGAGGGTCTACACCGGAGCTGGTGGCAGAAGTGAGGTCCTTAGGCTATACAGGCACCCCCACAGTGCCACAGCCTCTGCAGGCTGCACCCCACTTCTGCTTTTATCATCCCATTCTCTTCCTAAGTGGCAATATGTATCCTTACCAAACTGGATGTTTTCTTTGAGCTACGTTTCAGTTTTCCTTTAAAAACTGAATCATGGATTCGCATTTGCCATCTGTCTAAGAACTTAAGGTCCTGTTCTTCCTGGTGCTCTAACCACAGATGCAGCAAACAGGCACCTGCAAAAGAAGGCGAGCCAGGGTGGGGGTGTCCCCGGGACAGCTTGGTGATCCTCCCTGGAATCTGGGGCACTCAGGGAAATGGGAGTGCCTTTAGGGGGACACACACAGTAGTGGACCTCCCCCCCAGGCACTCAGGAGTGAACCTTGCGGAGTTGGACTCAATTAATCTCAATTTGGGGATGTATTTGTCCCCACAGTGGCAGCACCACCTTAAAGCTGGCATTGTGGGGGCAACAGGGATGGGTCTGTTACAGGGCACCCCAATGTGAATTGGGGTGCCTGTCTGTGGGTCTTCACCCGCGCGCTTACGATTCAATCGTATTATGGACACACTCAAAAGGTGAAATAATGGGTTTATTTATAAGGAGAAAGGTAAAGGAATAACCCAGGGAAAGAAGGAGAGAAACACAGGTTAACTAGGATGTCCTACCAGTTCTGCTGACGTGGACTCCACCGGCAGCTGAAAACCGATGGAGCGCCAAAATGATCAGCTGTGAACCACCAGGTCGCCCCCAGAGCCCACATGTCCGGTTTTATCCCAACCTGGCTGCTCAGCTCCGCCCTCACGGCCCAGCGTGCTTCTTCTTGGTACTGATGGGATTTGGAGTTCCAGCATCTGGAGTGAGGGCGGGGTCCATGAAACCTGTACCTGTTACAGGTCCAGGTGTTACAGGACACCAAATCTGTTAGAGGACAGAATCTGTTACAGGACAGGGGGAGAGGGGGACCCCTGAACCCAAAACCTGCCTGCTCTAAGTGGGTTCTGCCATCCTCCGCATCAAGACAAAACATATAAAACTTTAATGAAAAGGGACTTTAATACAGTGAATATACAATACGGAACACAAAGAATATAACTTCCAAATCAAACACCTGAAGTGACCCGTCCCCTCGTGGGCAAAAGTCCACCCAAAAGGGACTGGCCCAAAGCAAGGCCTGAAAGCTGCCACTAGACTAAAGCACCTTCTGGCCGGGACCCATGGAAAAGGGT